ATGGGGAGGGTCAGAAAAGGGGACGAGAAGAGAGGGGAGAGGGTGGGGTGGAGAGAAAGATAGAGTCTCAGTGGGTAAAAGGAGGGTATTAAAAGTGAGGGTGCCTCTCCCTTTGAAAGCTCTGTTAATCAATAGATGACTACAAGGCCAAGCCAAGGGCAGAAGTCTTTGGCCAAGATCCAGGTGAGGGTGTGAGAAGATCAGTGCAAGCAAGCCTGGGGGCAGGGGGAGCAGGGCGCTGACATGTAGGTTCCTTCCAGTTCTGGCCTTCTGACAACTACTCAGGCCGGATGGACGGAAGGACGATGTGCGCACGCAGAATCCCAAAATCTAATTTTAGCTGAGTGCTCCACGCCTCCCTTGCTAACAGTGAACCGGCTTCTGCTCAAATCGAGAAGCTTATAGGCAGGGAGAGTCACAGCAATGGGCCTGGGCCTGGGGCAAAGCTGCCTGGGGTCCCTCAAGCTCACAAGGATGGGACTTCTGAGGGTGCTGGGCTGGGAGGGACTCAGGTCTGTTCTGCCTCTTGTGTTGAAGAGGCAGATGCCGAGGCCAATTAGTGATCGAGTTGAGATTAGATGGGGTCAGTTCATATTCTGTTCCAGATGACTTCAGTCAAGTCCCTCAACTTCCCACAGCCTCATTTTCGTCACCTGATACATGTCAGGCACTGAGCCCGGGCCAATCCTAATATATCAGAACTGTTAGCTTTCCTCTCACCACTATGCGTCTCAAAGAGGTCACACTGATCCACTACACTCCTAGTCCAGGAACCGCACTCTAGAACAACTGATTAACTCCAGGAGCCTCCTGCGTCTGTCCTTCTGGGGAGCTACAGCAGGGGCCTGGCAGAGATAGATCCTCAGGGAACCCTGGAGACAAGGAAAATCCCCTTATGGGCAGAGCAAAACATCTAGGCTCGGAGAGAGAAGGACAGCCAGACTGATGGTGCAGAGGACCACCTCTGCTCTGGGACTTTAACTGCCAGGGATGTCCCACCCCTGCCCCACAGAAACCTGGTCCTCTGAGCGGAACTTCCAGTTCTGCACAGCAGAAGTGAAAACTTGCCACGTACAGACCCCAGCAGATGCCTTCTCCACAGCCAGCAGACGCTGGTCCCAAAGTTGTAGACAGGCCCTGGGCAAGGTCTCACACCTTCCCACCACCCCACCCCACAAATGGAGGATCATGCAGAGGCTGGGAAGAGTGTGAGAAGGCCTGATGAACCCATGAGCCCCCTCCACCTTGAGTTTTGATGGTGGGTCAGCCCAGCCCTGATGCCAGGTAAGGTTCAAAAATACCCTTCAATGAGGAATTGTGCACTACCCTGAATTTCTCAGCAGCTGGTGTGACATTGTAGGGTGATCACTAGACTGCTATCTGTGAGGTTGGAGATTCAAACCTACCAGTCCCTCCTTAGAAGCCCTAAGAGCCATAGGGTCTCTATGAGTGGGAACTAGCTCCACAGTACTTAAACAACAAGAAGCCCCGAGGTGGAGGCTGGGCCTAAATGTCCTCTCCAGGTGTCCCCTGTGGCCTAAGAACCCAGATTTCTCACAGAGTACAGTTTTAGGGGCTTCTTAAGTCCACCTCTTCTATAACTTGTTTTCTCAGTTGGGACCTCTCTTACCTTTCTGTAAAAATTGTCTAAAGAAAGGAGTCTCCAAAAATAATAAATAGATGGGTCTCCAGAAGGTAGATATGCCAGGCCAAAAAACTTCCAAGTCATTACACCTTTCTGAGCCACAGTTTCCATTTATAAAAATGGGCTGATTCTTATCTTTTCCCGTGGGCATGATTATAAAGATGATCAAAGATTAAATGAGATTCTCAAAGTGCCACAAGACAGAGTGGTTCAGTAATTGGGAACAAATGAACAATCTGACATCTGTCCCTGAGGTGGGTGCCCTGGCTGGTGTGCAAGGCAGATCTTTTTTTCATGAAAAAGTCATGTCCTTTTCATGAATCCCTCAGTGAAGTTCCATGTCCACATCTGCACTGACTGATTAAGAGTCTCTCTGATTGCCCCATGGCCCCAAGAAAGTGTGGAGATGTCCAGTAGACTCTTGGATCCTAGGTCAGTGTGGGGGTAAGATGGTAGTGCCCACACCATCAGACCCTAGAGCCTCATGCTTCTCCCTCAGCCCTCCCCTCCCAGGTTCCACCCCTCCTCATTGGTCAGCCATTGGTCTATACCCTGCACAGACCTCCTAAAGCCTGCCCCCTACATCCTGCCTGCTGTTCTATCTCCGCCCACCCCCTCAGAACTGGGTCAACCAGGTTCCAGTCCAGAGGCTGCCTTCTCTGAAGGGCCAAAGAAGCAGCTAGGTGGGACAGGAAGCCTAGAGGACTCACTATTAGCCCAACCCACAAGGTAGCTTTGGGCAGCCCCCTCTGCTGTCTGAGCTTCAGATGCAGGCCTCATCTAGGAAATGAGGAGACTGTTGGAGAATGACGTCCACAGTCCTTCCAGCTCTGATGCCTATAACTGAACCTTTCTGCGAGGAGAGCCTGAGGCAAACCAACTCCATTCTAGCTCTCCTGCTTGTCTCTAAAGAACAGCAGTTTCAAAGCATTCTGCAGAGTAGTTTTCCTTCCTAGTCTGCCCAAGTTCCTCCCACAGCCCATCTCATGAGGTGGTATCTCATCACCTCTGCTGGCCATCCAGCAGGACAAGCCTAGGACTCTCTCTCAAACTTGATGGCACATTTTCCAAACACAACACACATTTGCATGTGTTGCATCCCTGACTGAAACACCTTCCTGACCTGGTCTCCTGATGTACTCTTGTTCTTCCCTTCAGACCCAGCCCATAGGCCACCTCCTCTAGAAATCCCTCCTTCCTTCCCTCCCCAGGCAACCTATTTCACTCCAGTTACCTTCTCCCCCATGGACTTTTCATGATGCGTAAGGGTTACTGAGACAGGTGGGTGAACATCAGCCAGCCAGATCTGGGAAAGGAGAGGGCAACTGGCCCTAGTGGGGAGCCCCAGCTCATGGAACCCACATCCAGGGTTGGCTGTGCAAGTAGCTAAAGAACAACTACCTCTTGGAAGCCCATGGGCAATGAGGACATACTTGTGGTTTTATTAAAAAATATCTTTTATTGATAAAATAGCTTGGACTTTAAAAAAAAAAAACAAAACACCTGCATATCACAACAAGGGAGCCACAGGCAGCAATACTTACTAGGGGGTCCCATGGGATACATATAGTGGGGGTAGGACAGATGTCACCATTCAGGCCCTCCCCTGGGCCCAGCATCCCCAGCCTCACTTCAGAGCAATGCCTTTTTCTCATACTGCAACCAAGGAAGTAGCTAGGTAGGTCTCCTCCCTAGGAGGGATTCTCTGGTCTACCATTCTGTTTACCTCAGAACACTCCCTCAACCTCCCTCCAAATCTGACCAGGCCCAACGAGTCGCAACAGTGGTTGTGTCTCTCCATGCCACATCCCCAACCCCATCCCTGTCCCAGCTAAGATACCCAGTGGCTTAATGTTGTTGAACCCAGAAACCAGGAGCTCCCACAGGAAAGACTGAGAAACATCCCTCACATAGTCTCGATTGTTCCAGATGCCAGGTTCTGGGGGTATGAAAAGACTCAAGAAGGAGAGGCCCCCTGCAGCTCCATCAGTGGGGTGGAGCAATGTGATGGGCCGGAGCTGGTCAGATGGGTTGGGATTAGGTATGCTTCACAGGTATCTATTTTGGGGTAGCACAAGCCCTCTGAGGGAAGGCTTTCCCAAGAGTTCACGGGACCCCTGCTCACTTGCCCCAGTCCTAGCGTCCACACTACAACAGCTCATCTCAGATTGTCCCCAGGATGTGGGAATTTCAGCTAGCTGGGGGAAAGAGTTAGCCTGTCTGATGACAAAAGACTTGTCCTCCATTGGGGGGCCCAAGCCTTCATTGAAGACCCTCTCTGTGGTGCAGGTGGGTGAAATGTCAAAAAGCTGTCACGCAGCATAATAATGCAAACATTTGCAGGTATTAAGAACACATTCTTGAACTGAAATGGTGATTCTGTCTGCCACTCTTCGCTTCCAGTTTGGGGCAGGAATTCACACACCCCAGGCACAGAACAAAAGTCTACAGGAAGACAGGTAGTGGTAACACAGAGAAAGGGGATTTTTATATCACCCGATCATCACATTCCCTGGTTCTCTAGTGCGTTCCCCCATGGAGCTCAAAGCTTTCTGTAAAGCCTTTCATCTCCCTGTGGCAAGTAGGCGGCAAGCTATTGTTGCCCTGGTTTTTACATCGGGTGAATGCCAGTGATCAGGGATCTCCCATCGTGGCCGAGGCCAGGCCTCCAGACCCCCCACTGAGGCATCCATGAACTCACCCACCTCTCAGAGGGGCGCCGGGACAAGGAAACCAATCCACCATCCTCGGTTCTGGCCTTTAAAGGAGCCACAAATCCAAAATCAGAGGGTAGGGGAAAGAAGAGCCCAGAGATAGTGCCAGCCTATAATCCCATCCCAGCCCCTGATGGCAGCTACCAGTGCCCAGCGTAGGTAGACAGTCTTCATGTTTGACTTCTCCTAGGCAGCAGGCCATCTTGGAAAGAGTAGAAGGTGGGGAAATGAAAAAAACGAAAACACCACAAGCAAATGGTCTGCCAGAGAACACAGGGTCTTTGAGAAAGGGAAGCCCATCCACTAGTTGTAGGGGCCTAGGACTCCGGAAAGGAGGTCCTCTATTCACCTGGCCTTGGTCACACTCAGGCAGGTCCAAGCCTCATCCGTCTGCCTGTGCTCAGGCAAAGTGTGGAGAATGGTCCCTTCACAGCCAAGACAGAAAGAAGGAGGCTTCAAATGGATTCCTGTAAACAGCACTCCTGCCCTTCCCTCTCCCAGGAGGCTCCCAAGATAGGGTCGGCAGGACCTAGCCAGGGACCAGTAGGCCCTAGGAAGGTGGCCACATAAAGCAAGACTAGAAGTAGGGTGGCCCTGGTGCTACTTGGCACCCACCCCACACAGGCAGTAGGCAGGCAGGCTCACCAGGCCGTCTGGGTCCACTGGCGGCAAAGGATCCTTCGGAAGGCACGGCGGAAATCCTGGTTGAAGATGGTATAGATGACAGGGTTAAGGGAGCTGTTGCAGTAGCCAATCCAGAAAAAGAACTGGAAGAGGCCATGGGGCACCTTGCAGTGCTGTGGGCAGATGGCCCCCAGGCTGTAGCTAAAGAAGAAGGGGAACCAGCAGAGCACAAAGACACCAATGACCACAGCCAGCACAAAAGTGAACCGCTTCTCCCGGGTCAGCTGTGTCCTCCGGCGCCACCACTGCCCTCCTGCAGCACCCACACCCCTGCCCAGGAGCACCTGGCCACGTAAGGTAGCCAGCACCCGAGAACCCTGTGGCTGCTGCAGGGGTGGGCTGCCAGCAGAGGCAGGGGAGACTGGCACAGCCTGGGGTCCACACTCTTCCTCTTCATCATCCTCCTCTGGAGATGTCTCACAGACACCCTCCTTTTGACCTTGGCCTGAGTTGGGAAGGGCAGGCCAGCTAGGTGGCAATGTCGAGGTCACAGGATCTTCTAGAGTTTCCGCCTCCTCTCCAGTGGGCTTAGAGTGTCCATTGGCCTCTCCAGCAACAGCCAAAGAAGAGGTCAAGGTTGGTGGCTTGGCTGAGGCTGAAGCCCCTGCAGCCATGGGATGGGGCAGCTTGGACTCACCCTCCCTGGTGGCCCCCTTGGCCCTGGGCCCTCGGCGGTTGCTGCGTTTGGCAATCAGGTAGATGCGCAGGTAAACGAGGATCATGATGAGGCAGGGGGCAAAGAAGGAGCCAATACTGGAAGACAGGATGTACCAGGCCTCTTGGTTGAGCTTGCACTGGGGGCGCCCGTGGGGCTGAGGATCCTGGTCGCCCTTGTAAATGAGAGGTGGCAGCGAGATGGCGGCTGCGATGAGCCACACAGTGAGTATGATGCACTTGATGCGGCGTGGGGTGCGCTTGGAGTTGTACTCTAGCGCACGGCTCACTGCCCAGTAGCGGTCCAGGCTGATGGCGCACAGGTGTACGATGGACGAGGTACAGAAAAGCACGTCCAGCGCCAGGTACACCTCGCACCACATATGCCGGAAATACCAGTAGCCCAGCAGCTCGTTGGCCAGTGAGAAAGGTATGATGAGTGTGGCTACCAGAATGTCAGCAGCGGCCAGCGATACTAGAAACAGGTTCTGCGGGGCACGCAAAGAGCGACTGGTCAGCACAGCCAAAATGACCAGAGCGTTGCCAAAGATGGTGAAGAGGATGAGGAAGGTGATGACTGCCGCAATGGCCGCCTTGGCCTGCACAGAATAGGGCTCCTGGTGGTCCATGACTGGGCCAGGTGCGTAGAAGGGGGCGCTGCTCGCCCAGCGCATGCACAGCAGGCCAGAACACAGCCTGGATACGGTTAGACGATGGGATCTCCCCTAGAGAGCCTCTGAAAGTGCTGGAGCCCCATGGCCAGGGCAAACGGAGCCCAGGAGGTCGGAGGACGTCCTGGTCCAGCCGCCATCCTCCTACATCCTCTCCCACTGGCTCCCGGTGTCCTTGTCGTCCGCCCCTGAGAAGTTTTCCAAGTAGTCTTGCTGCCGTCCTTTTTCTGCTGAGGACCAGGGCAAAGTTGCGTCCTCCCACCACGTGGCTGCTGGACACACCGTGGGGCACGGAGCTAGCTGGTGGGTGCGAGAGCCGTTTTCGGAAGAGACGCGGAGGCCGAGGAGTCCTCCCAGCTCTCTCGCTCTCGTCTGGAGCCGCGTCTGCAGGCAGCCCGCCGTGGCAGGGGAGTGGGAAGGAGAGTGGGGCGGGAAGAGGGAGGAGACTGGAGGCGGGAGCCAGAGATGGGGAGAATGGCTGGGCTGGCTGTGGGATGCAGGGCAAGGTGCTCCTGGCGGAGGACGCACTGGCGGCGGAGCAAAACGTCCTGGCACCCCGGGTCTCCGATCTGGTAGCCCTACTCCTCCTCCCAGCCGCCGCGCATGTAAGGTCAGAAAGGCCAGGTGTTTAGGGTTTTCAGGACTCAAGGAAAGATGCTTGCAAAAGCGAAAGGGTCTGTGCCCTGGCACCTGGGACGTAGGGCTGATGCATCTGCAGATTATCAAGGTAGGACCACTCTCCTGGCCGACTAGACAGCACCCAGATCTAGAGTGGAGGGCAAGAGTTGGTATCTCCGCCCGGCGCCAAAGTCCCCCAAGGAGGGGATGGTTGTGTGTGTTGGAGCGCAGAGGCACAAAAAACCACTCCTTGCAGCCGGCGCCCATACAGTGGAGAAGCCAGCAGAGTGAGGACTGAGGAAACTGCCCCAACCACTCCCGAAAATCCTTTCCCACCCTGTACTCCGTCGGGCCTGCAGAGCTTGAGGAGAGAAGCATAGCTGGGCGCCCCCTGCCGTCTCCCACGTTCTGCCTGGAGACGCAAGTGAGCTCTTTCTCCTGGAGGCACGGAAAAACTCCCAACTCTGGCAAGGAAAGCAAGTGCTTAGAGCTTGAAATCTGACTTCAGGTTTCACGTTCCTCCTGTAGCTGCCTCAGTTTATCCCATTAAGAGCAAAAGAAATAAAGAAAATTGAGTTCGACTCAAGTCGCAGCAGTACCTGAGACTCAGCCAAGGGTTTTGTGTTTTGGCAAATGGTGGCGAACTCCAGCCCCTTGACTAGTAAGAAGAGGAGGTCCCTGCCTGAGAACTGAGGGACAAGAGTGGGGTATCTTTTGACACAACTCAGAAAAAGTCAGTCTTGGGGCAGCCTGAAGGGAGGAGCTTCCCATGGCCTCCTTAGGGTTGTGGTTCATACCCTCCCTGCTCCAGTCCTGCTTGACTCCCCCAAATACGTACCACAATCCTCTCTTGGGGAGCCAGTGGAAAGAGTTGGGATAAGAAGAAATTCCAGACTACCCTGCCCCCATCTCACCGCAAAAGAACTGCTGGGTTCCTGCTCTCCCTCCAACACCCTCACCCAACCATCACCAGTGGCAGCCTAGGCAGTCTCAAGGGCTTGTTTGTTGGTTTTTATTATTCAGAGCTTCCCAAGCCCCTAATGCTGTAAGTCTAGTCTGGAGCCATTTCTCATATTTATAGCCCACAGCTCTGCGTGGCATCCTTTGTGTGTATAAATAAGCATCAATCGCTCTCTGAAAGCAGGGCTCCTTCAAAGGACCCAGTCCTGAATCAGGAGCACTGGACTGTTGCTCCTGCCTGCAAGGGCCAGGCTGTGATCTCTCAGTGCCCACAATGTCTGGTCCCTCCCTAGACACAGATGGGCAGCAGCCCACCCCCCAGGCACCCGGTAGGTGGAGGGTTCTTCCTTGGTCCGGGCCTATCACTGTCATCCTACCAAATCACACAGCTCTTCTGTTGAGTGCCAAATGTCTGAAGCTTGATTGGAGTGGAGAAGGGTACTATCTAGGCCAAGTTGACAGAGGACAGCCAGCCTCCAGGCCTCTGTCGACTGCTCCAGCAACAGGTTCTAGGTGTGCGTCCTTCCCACTCTCTAGGCTGGGCTGGGCAGGGCCGGAAGCCATGGTCAGGTCACCAGGTGTGGAATGGCCCAGGAGACCCTCCCCTGAGGACAGAGCCTGAAAAGCAGCCCTGTAAGCTAAATCCCTGCCTATTCCCATTGCTCCATGATCCAGGGCACAAAGAGTCTGGGTGCACAGTACGGCCGTTGGGAGAGAGCAACATTTTACCCTCCCCAATCATAATCAAGTGAGAGGCAGTGGGCATGGCCCCAAAGCAGCTCCAGACTTCCCACTGTAACCAACATCAGCCCTTTGTCTTCTGGTTGGTTTCATTAAAGGGCCAAACTGCTAGGACTCTGCAGGAACTGAGGTCAGAGATATCCATGCTCCTTTTCCTGCCAGGTCTTCCCTAACCCTGTAAAAGGATGCTCACTTGGGCCTTCGTTGAAGGGGCATTCTGGTTTCACTCAGTGCCAAGCATTGCTTGCACCTCTACCAGCCCAGGCCAGCATAGGTGAGGGCCATCAGGGACAAAGCATACTGACCAGTGGACCTGGGATATGCATACCCACAGCTGGAACTGCCTGGCAACTTTAGCACCCATGCTACTCAATTCAGCCACTCTGCCTAGGTCTCCTCTTCATCCCACCCCCTCAGGGCAGTGGGCCAGTTACATAACTCAGTTTTCACTCACTTCAGTTTTCCATCTCCACTGCCACACACATGCCTTCAGGCACTGCCTTCTTCTCCTAGCACCCCATGGCTGCCAGGTGCAGGAATTAGAGCCCATCCAACCCGTGCACAGCAGGGCTTTCTACAGCTCTTCCCAAACCAGATGCAACCTTCCACTGTTATCCTGCTCCACTAGGATTGGCAGAAAGTTCAGTCCCCAGACCAGCAAGTAGCCACCAGCTGCCTAGAGGATGCCCAGCTGCATCTGGACTGCATGGGAAATGGTTTGGGAAGAGGCTGCTAGAACACAGCCAGTCACTTGCCCTCTTTTCCTGCCCTTCCAGACTCTGGATTGTTCCCTGGACACCCTTGAGTCCTCACACTTCCAGCGCTTCCAAGGACAGTTTGCTCTGCCAGAAACATCCTTTTTCCTGTGCTTGGTGGGCCCTAACCTGCTCTTCAAGATCCACCCACCCCTCCCCCCACCTAGGCAGGAGGAGGTACTGTGCTCTCCAAGCTCCTGAGCACCAGGTACACTGTGCCACTTTAACCTTGGCGTACAGTCCTGAGAGGTTACATCTCTTCCTCCTTCAGAGTGGACATCTGACCTAAGTGTTGAGGGGACAGTGGCAGCAGCACATAGGAGCCTTTCTCAGGTAGTGTCCAAGTGAAGGTACCATGAGAGATGTCCTTGGAAAAGGGCCACAGGGGAGAAGTGACTTAGTGATGCCATCTCTTTCAAAGAGGAGGAAGCTGGCTACTCCAGCCCCAACTGTGAGAGACTATGATATGCTATCTTAGTTGAAAGTCCTGAAGTCGCTTCTACCAGATTACAGGCCTAGCACCTCATCCCCAAGTATCCATTCTGGACTAACCCCCAATCAAGCTTCACACAACTGTCCCCCAAATCCCAGCCTTTCAAGTCTTTAAGACTCTTATTCCCAGAACATCCAGAGAACCCAACCCAACAGAGCTACAACGTCAGTCAGTCATCCTCTCTCCCTTCATAACTTACCTGACAAAACCCCAACCCTGGTCAAACCTAAGGAGCCCTGGTGACACAACGGTTAAGTACTCAATGGCCAACTGAAAAAGTTGGTGGTTTGAATCTACCAGATACTCTGCAGGAGAAAGATGTGTAGCAGTCGGCTTCCTGAAACCCCAGGGGACAGTTCTGTCCTACAGGGCCACTATGAGTTGGAATCAACTCTATGGCAGCCGGATTGGTCAAACCTAAACTACCCATTGACTCTCTGTTGGTGATCAAACAGCTGGTCTTTCTGGAGTGAAACATTCATTGCATCCACTGGCCTGACTTTAAATTCATGACACAGGTCTCTAAACTCTCATAATCTGTTCCCTTTCCCTTTTTGCCTGACTTGGCCCTGGCTTGCCTCTCTACCTCTTGCTAATTTCCCCCTCACACTGACTTGGCACATCATGTCTGCCTCAGGACCTTTGCACTGACTACTCTCCTCCAGATTTTGACAGGCAGGTTTCTCTTGTCATCTGGGTCTCAGTTGAAATACCTAATCCTCAGAGAGGCCCCTCCCATTCAACAGCCAAAAGAAACAGCCCCATCACTTATCAATACTTGGTGTTTTGTCATTTATGGTCCATCCCTAAATGAGGGAGAACAGATGACTTCATGAGAACAGAACCCCACCTCTTCCTATGTTACTCCCAATACCTATAGCAGAGCCTGCCTGGCACAATGTAGACGTTCAGTACAAGTCAGCCAAATAAGTACATCAGCCCAAATAACGATGTGCTTGGGAAATGGAGGTGAACAGGTCAGAGCCTGAAGAGGGGGGAGGCTAGCACCCAGATGCCTGTTGATACCCCAGTGTCCTATATTTATCACACCCCCACATCTCTGAGTGCTGGGTCTCAAGGGACTGGACCACTAGATACTATTCAGGGTGGGACTTGAAGAATAGACCTCAAAGCAGAACTATTCTGGGGACCAGGCTCTGTCGTGATAGGCGGTTTCCTGTGAGATGGCAGGAATTCTTCATGACAAGGACACGCTTGTCTGTGACCAGCCCCCAAAGAGGAGTGGGGACCTGTCTTCCCCTTGTGGACCAGACCCAGTCAGCTTCCCCTCGCCTTCTGGAGAGCTCAGATTCAAAGACCATAATGCTCATTATGAGCAACATCTGTGAGCCTGGAGGGCCTCGCAGCATACAAAGAAATCCCAGCCAGTTGCCAGAGACCTGTCTGAGCCACTTGAAGAAACAGAGGGGTCGTTAGGCAGTCTATTTCTGGTAAGTGGAGGTGCTATACTTATTGCCTCGATCCTACGGTTGCCCCAACATCTCTGCTGAGTCCCCACCCACCAACCCACTGAAAACTCACTCACACACATACACCATTTTGTCTGAGAAAAGCGTTTTCCCCCAAGTCCTTCCTGATGCTAATGCTGGAGACAGGACAGCTGTTAAGTTCTAGAAAATTCTTGATTCAAGACTGAAACTCAAGGCCAACCGAGCACTGAAGCTCCAGGGTCCCAAGTGTATCCTCATACCCCTGACCCAGTCTCAACTTGTAGCCAGCCTAGGAGGTTGGCAAAGGTCAAGTTCTTTGGGCACCAAAGAGCCCCAAAGCCTCAGCCATGCATTGGTTCTCCTCAGACACACGACCTTGGACAAGTCTGTTTACTCCTGTTTCTTTGTCTGGAAAATGGGTATATCCACCTCAGTACCCACCTCATAGGGCAGTGTAAAAGTTAAGGGCATTTGTGGGTGTGCAGGATGTGGTCAGAACACAGTACCTGACACATAGTAAGCACTTAATTTTTATTTCTGCCCCCAAACATCTGAGGTCCTTAGCCCTACTGAGCCAGGGCACCAGTTCCTGCTCTCCCACTCCCATCCCAAACGGGTTTCCTTGGGCTTCTGACAGGCCACAAGAACAGTGTGTGCCGGACAAGGGAGGGTACCTGCTGGAGACTCTTTGCTCCTGGACCAACCTTCCCAAGAAGGCCAGCAGCTGGAGAAAAGAAGTGCTTGGCTGAGGGAAAATGTGCAGGGAGATGGAGGGCTGGACCCTCTCCTAGCCGCTTTCTACCTTTCTGAGCTGCTTCTTGCCAAGTTCTGGAGACAAGAAATCTTGGAAACTACAGTCACAGTCTGGGAATGGCAGTGAAGAGCAAGCAGGACTGCCCATCTCTTGGTACAGAGCCGATGAGGGGCAGTTCTGGCGGTGCCCCCACCTCTTCATCTCCCCATTTTAGCAGCCCCCTCCACCTGGAGTCTTTCTGCTTTGCAGGAGAACAAGTTGGGCTCTGAAAGTCTCCTGGAAAGCAGGACTAGAGGGTAAGTTTACAGAGCAGTATTCCCAGCACCCAGCTCCCAGACAGGAGATCCCAGCCACAGGGTCTCTCCAGGCCTAAGCCCATGGGAGACATGAGGTCAGCACTGGGAGGGTGGGACACAGGCATAAGCTCCCAGGGACCCTCAACACTGGAATCTGCATCTTCCCAGATCACCTAGCCCTGGAGCACTGGTGAATATCACTTCCCATTCCCAGCATCCCACAGGGCTGGGGTAGAAGACAGACAGCACAGCACAGCATTCCCCAGTAGGCCTGCCTTCCCCAAAACCAGACCTAGGGAACTCAGCTTGTCTGTCCCCTTGGGGGGACAAGGAAGGAGCCCTTGGGGGAACAAGATGGGAGAGGGATCTATACCTCTAAGAAAAGACAGCCAGACTACGGCTGATAGACAAGGGGATGTTGCCCAAACCAGATGTACCAAGGGTTGGGCAACCTGACTCCTCAGGTAGACGACACCCTCCCTACTTGGGGGCAAAAGCCACAGCTTTGACCTCTGGGCATCCCCCTAAAGTGATTTCCTGGTACATGACCTCCTGCCAGAGCTGGACTTCCCAAAGCAGCCTGAACAGGTCCTGGCTGACTTTCTTCTGCTTCTAGAGATGGAGATGAAGGTACAGTGGGCACTTGAGCCAACTGAGGCTGCTCCAAAACAATACCAAGAGCATCTGCTCCAAACATTGAGCTTGAGGTGGATACTGGGGCCTGAGGTAACTCTGCAGGAGCCTCTATGATAAACTGCTGAGGAGAGGGCTCCTGTCCAGGTGAGTTCTCTCCAGATCCTACAGCAACACGCTGGCCTCCAGTCTTAGAGCCACTGGCATGGGGACTTCTGGATTCCACCAGCAATGCCTCCAGGAATCTCTGCAAGTATGTCCTGGGGGAAGGAGTGGAGCTCCTACCACTGCTGTTGGCCTGGAAGCCTGGAGCAGGAAACAGAAGATGTCAAGTCCTAGAAGAAAGGTGCGTGGCAAGGGCTGGCTTCAGCTTGATTCACAGCGATGAATAACCACGGGCAACCATAACCAGTTATGACTGACCCACCTGCCCAACCCCTGCTAAGCCCCTTCCTCAACCCTTCAAGACCCAAATTCTCACATTCCCACTTGTTTCTAGTAATTCCCTGTCCATTTGGCCCTGATCTCAGTCATTCTATGACCTCCCTTGCTCCCACCTCAGGTTTGTTGTTGTTGTTGTTGTTAAGTGCCGTCGAGTCGGTTCCGACCCATATCGACCCTGTACAGAGTTTCCGAGGGTGTAAATCTTTACGGGAGTAGAAAGCCTCATCTTTCTCCCGCAGAGCGGCTGGTAGTTTCGAACCGCTGACATTAAGGTTCGCAGCCCGATTCGTAACCACTACGCTACCAGAGCTCAACTGACTCAGCACTGCAGCCCTCGAGACACTCTATGCACAGCAATACCTTCACTTCTCATCCTGCATGGGAAACTTCCTTCCAGAACTCTTCCTGAACCTGCAAGCCTATTTAAATCCAGGGCATCAGGAAGATATAGGGCTCCAAGTGTTCTCAGGCCCATGCATTGTACCAAGAGGTGGGCAGCCCTTGTTCTTCACTGCTATTGAAGCCTTGACCATGCCTGCTGCCTGTTACTGCTCTGTAAATATTCCTTCCCTTTTGCAGGAGCAAGATGAGGCTTTCTGCTCCCACAAAGATTTACTGCCTCGGAAACCCTATATAGATTCACTGTGAGTTGGAACCAATTCCACAGCACACAACCACCACCACCGTTATCTCTTCTTTTAGACCCAAGCTTTCTAGCCTTATATTCTTACTCCCTGAGTGCCATCTTCCATCTCATTCACTCCTGTCCATGCGCTAATGGCTTTACTGACCAATTCCACACTGGCATGCTTCAACCAGAGACTTCTCTCCCCACTCCATCCCATATCCCCCGTTGGCCTACAGCCCACTCTTCCCTTCTACCCAAACCCAGTAAGCATTAGAAACTACCACCACTGGAGTCTCCATTCCTCACAGTCCATTTTGACAGCAGCCTCTAGTAAAAGCTTACTCAGGTATCGTAATTCTTCAAAGCTCCTGAGACCACTGGTTCATACAACTCCAACCCCTATGATCCTTGCCTTCCTCGCTTCTGGACTGCTCCTTTTTACTCGGTTTAGACTGCATAGCTCATCACCGTAATCATTCCTCTGGACACATTCTCTGTCACACATGCCTGTAAAACCCCAGTCCTGAATGACTAACTATCCTGTCCATGCCATGCCTCCATCTGAGCAACCAGGTACCTCCCAGAACTGCCTAAGGCCTCCTTGCCCATTCTCTAGACAGCCTTCATACTGTCTATGAGGCTTCAGATTCATCTTTCTCCTCACCACTTCTCAGCTGGCCACCTTACCTTATCCTTTGTGAGATCAATTGACTCAAAATAGAAGCCCCTCATCTGCATATCTCAAGACCCATATGCAAACTCAGGGCTACATGTCTCTTTTCCTTATTAGGTCCAGATCGTCTCAGCTCTCACCAAGGGCAGCCCCCTCCCCAAACACTCTGGATGCTCTTGACTCTCCCTCCACATTCACCCTTCCCTTCTCTTGGGGTCATCACTTAAGCATCAATGTGCTTACATGTCCACTATCGCAATAAAACCTTTGACTGACAGCCCTACCAGCCACCTCCCTATTCTCATGATATTCAGATCTCCAGAAGAATTTTCCACAAAACTTAGACCACATCATCTCCCACTCTTTCAGTTAAAAAATATAGTATCTGGTATAATAAAAATATATATGTAAGCATAGTTTTTTCAACAAATGGTATTGAAACAACTGGATATCCAGATGAAAAAGTATTTGAATGGACCTCTTCCTCACATCATACATAAAAATTAGTCCTAAATGCTAAGAACACTTAAAATTCTTAGAAGAAAATGTTAAGGGTAAATATTCATGACTTCGGGTTAGGCAAAGCCTTCTTGAACATGACACCAAAAGCAAAAAACACAAACAAAAAAAGGTAGATTGAACTTAATCAAAATGAAAAACTTTTGTGTTTAAAGGACAAAATCCAATCATATCTGATAAATAACTAGTATCCAGAATATATAAAGAATTCTTACTCAATAAACTTAAAAGATAACACAATTGAAAAAATGGACAATGAATTTCAATAGACATTCTACAAAATATACAAATGCCCAAAAAGCACATGAAAAAAATGCTCAACACCATTAACCATCAGGGAATTTGCACATTAAAATTAAAATTTGATACCATTTCACCTCACTAATATAGCTATAGGAGCTCTGGTAGCATGGTGGTTATGAGTCGGGCTGCTAACCTCATGGTCAGCAGTTCGAAACTACCATCTGTTCTGTGGGAGAAAGATGAGGCTTTCTGCTCCCATAAAGATTTACAGCCTCAGAAATCTTAGGCAGGGTCTCTGTAAGTCAGAACTGACTCCATGGCACACCACCACCACCACCACCAATATAGCTATAATGAAAGGACAGGTTAAGTGTTTTCAAGGGTTTGGAGAAATTGCTGGTGAGAATGTGAAATGGTACATCCACTTTGGAAAATAGTTTGGCGGTGACTAAGAAGTTAAACAGTTACTATGTGACCCAACAATTCTAGTCCTAAGTACATGCCCAAAATAACTGAACCATATGTTCACACAGAGGTTTACATACAGATGCCCGTAGCAGCCAAAACGTGGAAATAACCAAATGTCTATCAACTGATGAATTAATAAAACATGGTATATAAGTAGCTATACAATGGAGTACTATTCAGCCACAAAAAAGAATTAAGCACTGCCTCATGCTATGACATGAAAGAACATTGAAAATAGTAGTATGAAGTAAATAGTCACAAAAGGCCACACATGTAATTTCATGTATTAGAAATGTTCATAATAGGCAAATCTAAGGGACAAAAAAGTAGATCAGAGAGTGACCGCTGGTACAGGATTTTTTTGGGGGGGGTTATGGTTATGGTTGCACAACTTTGCTAATGTATTAAAAATCACTATGTGAGTTGTATGACATGTAAATTATATGAAGTTCATATAGTTTGCTACCAGTTAGACCATTCCAACTAATGATGACCCTGTGTGTACAAATTAGAACTCTTCCCTAAAGTTTTCAAGGCTGTGTCCTTTCAGAAACAGATCACCAGGACTGTCTTCTGAGGCACCTCTGGGTGATTCTGAATGGTCAAGTAGTTGATCACTAAACCATTTGCTGCATCCAGGGACTCCAATAATAACTATATGTAGTCTGGGGAGGATGGGCAATCCCAGTATTCAACGTAAGAGCTGTAACATTATCTATGTAGCTAAAGGAAACCATACACTCTTCTATCTCCTCCAGAGGTAACCATTCCTTAAAATTTCCCTTAATCTTTCCTTGCTTCTTACCACATCTTAATGTATTTCCTCTCAATATATTTTGCTTCTTTCTTACTGTTTTTTGAGCTTTACAATAATGATTATCATACCAAATGTAGTCTTCTATGACTTAGCTTTTCACTCAACATTGCAATTCTGAGAGCCATCTCTGTTGTATGTATTTCTGGCTCACTCGTTTTTTTCATTGCTATATGATATTCCATTGTCTGACTATATATTATTACCATTTGTTCATCTATTCTTCTATCAATGGTCATTTAAACCTTCTCCATGTCTCTCAGACTACTCTGCCCCATTTACTCACCTTTATCAGAGGGGCCACTTGTTCTGCAGTCATAAAGTCTAAGGACCCGTTTGACATCCAAGGCACTCAGGTTCCACCGCTGGCCAATGTGGACACTGGGTTCCCAGAGTGGCAGGATAGTGGGGATTCCTCGCCGGCTGAAGGCAAGCCTAGAACCATCAGGCAGAGGCCGGAGTGTTATCACAGCATGGGCTGGGGAAGCAATGCAGAGGGAAGAACAGAAAAGAAAGGAAAGGAGGTCCTCACCTCCCATAGTGCATTATTGATGAGTAGTCATAAGGCACTAGCATGTTACTGCTCCGAGCTTTGAGGAAGTTGACTTCATAACCTGGGAAAAAAGAACACTTGAGAATGTGGAAAGACGGCAAACTAGAAGTGAGAAGGTAAGGTCCGGGGACTATGGGGAACAATGGATCTGACTTCTATAGCAAGTGATACCTCTGTGCTGGGCAGTCAGAAACTACTAGTACTTGTCTCTGTCTTCTTCATGCCTTCATCACTCACTTCCATCCCTGCCAGGGGAGGCTTCAGACCTCTACCAGGTGAGGCTATCACCTCTAAATTGTTCTATTACTCACTTCTTCCTTTCCTCAAATTCACTAGGTACAGGGCTAATCTTTACATAACCAACAACCTCCATTAAATCACACACTGCTCGATGTGGTTTGGATATCCCTCTTCCCACAAGATAAAATACCTACTCCTTGGTCCAGCTTTAAGGGCTTTCTATCCCCAACACCCCACTTCCCTCAGGCCTAGCAACTTCCACATTCCCCATCTTCCACAAGGTCACCAGCAGCCTCTTTCTCTCTAATCAAATCGGCATTCCAGTACCTCTATATTAACTATTGCCACTGAGTTGATATCAACTCATAGCAACCCTGTGGTAGTGTTAAGCATTGTCAAGTTGGTTCTGACTCATGATGACCCTATATAGGGTTTCCAAGGAGCAGCTGGTGGATTTGAACTGCCAACCTGTGTTTCGCAGTCTAGTACTGATGCTACAGTGCCACACCATTGCCCCATAGGGTTTCCAAGGCTGTCAACTTTACAGAAGCAGGAAGCCTCATTTTTCTCACCTAGCACAGGCAGACTGGAATCTCCAGGACATGCGTCACTTCTCAGCTCCCCCACCTGGAGTAAAGCCCTCATCCCCGACCTCAGACAACCATGCCTGGCGGGTCCTAACCACCATATTGTCAGACTAAAAATCAGACCCTAAAGAACTAATTTCTTCCTTTTAAAACTCATATATTAAGCATAGTTTTGAACAGGCAATATATTCACATGGTTCAAAAATAATATTAAAAGATATTTTATGAAAGCCTCCCACTCCATCTCCCCTCCTCTCCTACCCTGCAATTGTTGTTGTTGTTGTTAAGTGCCGTTGAGTCAGTTTTTTGACCCATAGCGACCCTGTACAGGGTTTCCGAGGGTGTAAATCTTTACGGGAGTAGAAAGCCTCATCTTTCTCCCGCGGAGCGGCTGGTAGTTTCGAACTGCTGACCTTAAGGTTCACAGCCCGATTCGTAACCACTACGCATACCCTGCAATAGTCACTGGTTATTAATTTATGCTTCCTTGGCAGAGTGTAGAGTTTGTTCTGCTCGTATTAACTAAATAAAAATATATTCTCACTTTCCTCCATTCTTAGGCAGGAAAAGACACTCAGTTAGGGTAGCTGTTATTTTAACCTGTTTTATTGTTTAAGAAATAACTCTTGAATTTATTAATGCTGCTTGTTTTCTAACTCATTAATTTCTGCTTTTACTTTTTCTTAACTCCTCTTAGCTTTTTCTTTTTTTTTTTCCTAACTTAGATTCAAATGCTTAATGTATTTGTTCTATTATTAAAGTATTTAAATCTATACATTTTCTTTGAGCACTGTTTTAGCTGTGAACCATAGATCCCAATGTGCAGTATAGTGTTTATGACAACTTTAAAGAATTCCTTCTATTTCAGTTTATATTTCTTCTTTAACCCAAGAACTAAAAGAAAGATTTGTGTTGTTTTGGGTTTTTTGTTGTTGTTGTTGTTACTTTTCATTTTAATTTATTTTGACTATTACTACATCATGATCAGAATGTTTATATTAACTCTATTTCAAATATTGTAAGTTTTTATAATTGTTAAGTGCCGCGGAGTTGGTGCCAAATCACAGTGACCCTGTATAGGGTTTCCAAACATGTAAATAAGCATCCCAGAGTACTTGAAGGGGTTGGGTTCTCTTATTTGCAGGTTCTATTCTCTAATGTTACCTCTCATCCTCCCCACTATTCCAGCCTAACCTCTAGTCTCAATCCCCATCCCAATACCGGGTGCTCCCCATATAACCCCAAAGCATCCAATTCTTCAAGTCTGCTTGCATGCTGTTCCCTGTATCTGGCCAACACTTCAGCAACAGAATAGGTGTTCATTCCAGAAGCCCTCTTCTTGCAGGAAGGCTTCCAGCTCCTCCTCTGAGCCCACTCCCCAAACCAAACTTCTAATTATGCCTCTCCTCTGCTCTTGCTCCTTCATAAAATATCTTTACTCTTCTCACCTTCAGTAGGTAGTCAACCCCCATGAGGGCAGAGGTCTGTCTCACCACTACTGGGATCAGATCTCTAGTGCCCAGCATCATGTGGGCACAGAGCTGCCACTCACTATCATTCATTACAATGGACCGCCCCCCAGTCAAGCTGAAGCTGGCTTTCCATCTGCCATCTGTTTGCTGAGGTGCCCTTCAGTGCCCAGTTCATACTCTTTGAGCCCTGGAGCACTGCCCTTGGCCCCCTTCACCAGGCACCTGGCACAGGTATACTAGTGTCTTCTGGGACTTTGTTTCTTCTCAGCTCCCCCACATGGAGTAAAGCTCTTACCCTCCCACTTCACACAACCCATGCCTGGCACATGGGACTGCTAGCTGGATGCCCATGGAACATGGATCATAAGAAATCATCAATCTATCCTCAGAAACTGGAAGTGCCCATAAGGAGAAATGAGACACAAAGCAAAGGAGTCTGCCTTATGCCTGGCATGACTATGGGTGGGAGATGGAGGCATGGAGTCCAAAGCAGCAGCAGCAGCTGGACCATTCTTCTGGACCCAAAGGAGGAGGAACCCCAACCTACCCAGGGGATCAGGAAAGTGGTGGGGAGAATGGACCACCTCTTTCAAGAGAGCTAGGCGGTTCCTCAGGTACTGGCTTGAACCCACTACCCTCTCTCCCCACCAACACCTCCAAGCCCAGGCTGACCTGAGCATAAGCTGGCTTACCTGGGAGGATCTCATTCCAGTTAACACGAATATAGCGATCCCGGTCAGCCCGGGCATGCTCGTGCCAGAAGCCTAGTACATGCATCAGCTCATGCAGCACAATGCCAGGGCCCCGCTGGAGACAGGCAGGTGCCAGGGACACCACCTGCATCCCTCCACTGCGCCCCACATTAGAGAAGCACCTGCAAGAAAGAGCCAGGAGAGACAGTCAAGTGAGTCAAGTCAGGACAGGCTCTTCTCTTCCTCTTCTGGTATATAGACTCAGGTTTGTTATTCCCGCCTCAGTCCCTTCACTGCCTGGCCTTCTGTGAGGTGAGTGTCATGGAACCCCACTGACCAGCCTAGGCGGCAAGAGAACGTAGGGAGCATGCCTACACGTAGATGACTAGACAAGGTCTTCATACCTGTTATCTCAGGCTCCTGATGGGAGATAAAGTAGGAAAGACTCCAAAGCTAGGGGACTTGCCCAGAGTCACATGGTACATGCATTGTTGAGCCCTGATTAGAGGCCAGGTCTGGCCCACAAAGCCTACACTCACTCACCACACAGAACGTCTGCCCTAAGAGGACTTTGTAAAGTGAGGGTTCAGCACCTTAAATCCCACCCTGATTATTTACAGTTCTATTTCATATTGGGCAAACCCTCAGGATAGACAGGGAGACTTTGGACCTAGGAGGAAAAGCCTAGAAGTAGGTTTCTAGACAATAGCTTGGTTAATTGCTAGCTGAATGCAGAAGCCAGATCAGAAAGTCACTCCCCTGTGCATTGTCAGTGCATGTGCATACACACATATAAACACACCTACCCCTAAACCTTCTTAGGAGTACTTACCCAGACATGGGGACGATGGAAATGAAGTCTCTCTGGCCCTCATAGGAGACAAATCTAATGCATGTAAGGTGCTCAAATTCAGCAAACGCCTTCAGGATGACCTGCCGACTGAGCTCATCTGGGAAGAGACACCCCAGCTGAACACCCTTCAGGGCCCCTTTGAGATGTGCATGTTGTTGTTGTTATATGCCATGGAGTCGTTCCGACTCATAGTGACCCTGCACAGGGTTTCCGAGGCTGTAAATCTTTCAGGAGCAGAACGCCTCATCCTTCTCCGGAGGAACAGCTGGTAGTTTCGAACTGCTGACCTTGCAGTTCGCAGCCCAATTCGTAAGCACTACGCTACCAGAGATGTGCATAGGAGGCAGGAAACAGGCCTACAAACTCTCCCAATACAGAATGTTAAAAACGGGCAGCAAGATAATGGGCTCCAGGTAGACCCTACCTATGTGACCTTGAGTAAGTTACTGTCCTGGACCAATGGGTTTCTAAGTAGACCAGACAGTCCTTCAATCAGCTCTTTCAGGATTTAAACCCTCCAGACTCAAGCAGCCATAGAATAAAAGGACTCTGGTAAAAGGGACTTCTGAAGCTATAGTTTGGGTGGTGATGGTAGAAGGGATGTGGTGATAAAAAAGGAAGAAAATAAAGCAATTTGGAGAGAAGCCACAACTGCGTGAGGGCACCACTGGGTTGAGGCAGTAAGAGAGTGCCTGCCAGCTCCCAGGACTCAGAGGCCCGGAATCAGGAGAGACCCCGCCCCTCCCACTTTGCTCACTTACTGTACTCGCTGGAGAGCAGGAAGGGGATCTCCACAAAGCCACTGCTACTCTTGGACCACTTGTTACTGGCAGCTGACAACAGCCGGAAAGGACTCTGAGGAGAGACAGTAGCTCAGGATCCCCCAGGACACAAGACCACCCACATGCCTCAAAGCTACAAGAGGAGGCCTAAAGATGTGAGAGGCAGGCCTAGGGATGTGAAGGTGGGGAGCCCATGAGAAATTCCATAGAAGCATGAGGAGATAAGTAGGGCCAGTTACATGAATTATGATGTAACAAGACACAGTCCTCTGCTCTGTGATGATACAGAATTTGTGACTTATTCTCTCAAGTAGAAAAATCAATCTAAGAAAAGCCTATCCCTGAAGAGGATAGCTAGATGTCCCAGCACCCCAGGGCATCCTAGTTCAGAAAGACTCAGGGCTCTGAACAGCAACCTCAGCCCAGCACCTCAGCAGTGCCCTGCTCTAGAGAACAGCAACTCATCAAGCATCCTTGAATGTGGAGGTGGAAAGAAGATGGTGACAGGGTCCTGGCTGATGTGAACGATGCAAACACTTCTGCTCTCAGTAGCTCTTTTCTCCACTCTTCCTCCCACCAAAACCCTTTGAAGTATCATCATCATGTTCTACCCTTCCAGGCACCAACATGTTTCACTGCTCTATGATGGTCATATGTCTGCCCACACACACACCAAACATGCACTGACTGGACAACAGGGGCCTCACCTCACTCTGCCCTTTCTCCTCCCATCCTTGGAGCCAGGGGGTGGCCTCCAAGGCAGCAGAACAGTCTTGCTTCTCTCACCAAGTCACTGTACTATTCAAGAGCCTTCTGCCATCCCTAGCTGTAGTAAATATGGTCCTGTTCTCCTGCACAAGTCACTCCAATTCCTATACAGCTTTCTTTCTCCCTTTCTGAGTCAGCCCTTCAACTCTGGGTCAAGAGCACCTCTCTGCATTTACCCTTGTGCTGTCTTTCCCAAGTCACTGCTGCCATCTAGCCACTCTTGACAAACCTGTGGCCGCATCTTCCTTCATCACAATACTTTCCAAGTAACTCCCCTGGGAAGGATACACGTCTCCTCCTTCAGGAAGCCTTCCTAGGTTGACTGCTGCCACCACTTCAGGTATCACTCTCCCTTATCATTTAGGCTGGCTTACTCCTAATACTTCAATCTTTCCTTCATTTATCATGATGTTGTTTATTGATCCAGTTCTGAGTATTTTCATTTTGTTTACATTGAGGTGAAATCCATACGGAAGACTGTAGTCTTTGATTTTCATCAGTTAAGTATTTCAAGTTCACTTTTCTTCAAGCAAGCAAGGTAGTGTTATCTGCATATTATTGAGTTAATGAGTATCTGCCTATTAATTAGTTGACTCAATAATACTCAAGTGTTAATGAATCTTTCTCCAATTCTGAAGCCACATTCTTCTTCATCTATTCCAGCTTTGGGGATTGGTTCAGCATACAGAATGAATAAGGATGGTAAAATGAAACAACCCTGACACACACTTTTCTTAATTTTAAACCATTCAGTATCCCTTTGTTCTATTCCAACAACTGCCTCTTGGACTATGAACAGGTTCCTCGTAAGCACAATTAAGTATTCTGGAATTCCTATTCTTCATAATATTATCCATAGTTTGTTATGATTTACACAGTCGAGTGCCTTTGCATAATCAATAAAGCACAAGTAAGCATCTTGATATTATCTGCTTTTAGCCAAGACCCATCAGATATCAGCAAATCATCTCACGGCATCTAAATGCATCCTAAATGTCTGGTACCTCCCTGTCAATGTACTGCTACAACCACTTTTGAATTATCTTCAGCAAAATTTTAGTTGTCCGTGACATTAATGATATTATTCAATGATTTCCGCATTCTGTTGAGTCACCTTTCTTTCACAATGTAAATAAAATTAAGATCCTCATAACTGGATGAATAAATATATACATGGGGGGGGGGGGATGAAGTTGTCAAAGACTTCATTTTGCTTGAATTCACAGCCAGTGTTCACAGAGACAGTAGTCAAGAAGTCAATTGACATCTTGTATTAGACAAATCTGCTACAAAAGAATCTTTGAGGTAAAGATGTCACTTTGAGGACTAATGCGTACCTGACCCATGCCATGGTATTTTCAATCACCTCATATGCATGTGAAAGTTGGACAGTGAATAAGGAAGACCACGTTTGATTATGGAGTTGACGAAAAGTATTGAAAGTACCATGGACGCCAGAAGAACAAACAAATCTGTGTTGGAAGAAGCTTAGCCAGGAGATGGCCAGACTCCGTCTCTTGCACTGTAGACATATTTGTCAGGAAGGAGCAGTCCTTGGAGAAGGACATCATGCTTGGTTAGAGTGGAGGGTTGGTGAAAAAGCAGAAGGCTCAATGAGCTGGATTGACACAATGGCAGCAACAATGAACTCAAACAGGACAATTGTGAGGCTAGTGGAGGACCAGGCAGTGTTTCATTCTGCTATGCATAGTAGCATCACGATGAGTTAGAGTTGACACCATGACCACCTAACAACATTCCTAATACATTCCAGCACTCAGACTGATTTTAAAAGAGGGGGGTAGGTCTATCAAGCTATCAGCACCAAATCTCACTCCTCACACCCCATAATGTAGGTGGTAGAGTCCTATCTGTAAGGTTATTTACACCCATGTTTGTGCATGGACACACTCACTGGCCGGATGATGTCCCCCTCGAGGAGAAAGCTGCTCTCTGGGGTTTCCTCTGGGATGAGGCCTGGGAAGGAAGGAATATATGTTGGCCCATTATCCATGTCCACAGACTCCAGGGACAGATTCAGGGGAAGTTTCAATGGCCAGGCCAATTTACTTCCAGAAGTCTGTCTCTCAACTTTGGAGTTAAGCATCCCTGGTTCTGAGGCTGTGTGACCTCAGGCACAGCCGGAGTCCCAGCTAAATAAATATGCTGCTTCTCAGCCTGATGGAGTTCTTCTCCTGCTCAAGCACAGTCCACAACATCCACCGTCCCTACAACTCACACAGTAGAATCCCAACTCTGCCCTCTTTCTTTATGCTGTCTCCATCCTGTACTCTAGCCCAAGCCACTCAGAACATGCCTTGGCTCTTCTTCCATCTTATCCCCTCTTTTATTTCTACTCATATGCATTCTATTCTGGTCTTGGTGGTGACAAGTGAATAGAAAGTTCAACTTATACCACTACAGAAGGGTGAGTACTGGCACCTGCGGCTCCCTCACACATGCACACTTACTCACTCCCTCTCCTCTCCACATTTCAGTTCATCTCTTCTCATCTCCCCAACCTAACTTCCTGCCATAGTATGTCAGACTTCTCCATAAACTCTTATTAACATAACCCCATGAGGCCTAGCACATAGTGGGTATGTTAGATTGGGTTCCATTGAAGCAAAGCCTGGGACAGGTTGTCTTCTGCAAGTGATTCTTGGGGAAGTGATCTCAGGAGTAACTGTAAGGAAGGGAGGGAAACAAAAGAGGAGAATGAGGAAGAAGACAATTCAACTGAAGTGCAGGCTCAGCCAGGTCCCACAGAAAGTTCTCAAACAGGAATAGCAACAAAGAGTCATTCCACCTTGAAGCAGGAGGCCAGACTCCATCCTTTATTATCTCTTGTTGGCTGTGGGTCATCTAGGCAGAAGCAGCTCATTTGTCCAAGGACCATTCTCGGAAGTGTGGTTGCAGCTGTGAGGCATTAATAGCCAATATCCTCAGCAGCTGAGGAGTGGGTGTGTGCTTCCCAGTAAGGGGCACCTGAGCAGAGCACCAACAACTTCTACTACAGTGGTGGTGGTGGTTATGTGCTGTGGAGTCAGTTCCAACTCATAGTGACCCTATACAGGGTTTCTGAGGCTGTAAATCTTTATGGGAGCAGAAAGCCTCATCGTTCTCCTGCAGAGCCGCTGACCTGCTGACCTTGAGGTTAATAGCCCAACTTGTAACCACTACGCTACCAGAGCTCCTTTCTATTATGGTAAGCTCCCAAATAATTATAACTCAACAAAGCTGAGAGTTGGCTCTATAATGTCTGAAGAGCCATCCCAAGGGAGACTCAAACTGGTTCTGTCCACCTATAGATCATTCACAGTAACTAGAAGGTGGAATATCCCTGTGCAGTTCTCTTTCTGTCCACTACTGCGTCAGCCCTGGGTGACTTCAACATCTGAACTCCAGTCTCTATTTCTATTGGTTTTGTTTCAGGATGTGGATACATTCTCATTCTTCAGCTGAGATCCCAATAAATTTCTTTGCACCTTCATCCCACCCCCTCACACCAGTACAGGCTGGATAACATTCTCAAACATTCACTAATGATTTAATTCAACACTCAGACTCAAAGAGATCCAAGGACCTATTTTATCAAGTCATTTTTTAAAGCCTGTAGTTTTTCCCTTTCTTTCAAAAACCATAGAAGATACTAAAAACATACTTAAGTTACCCACTTAGAGCTCACCAAGTATGCTGGTGCACGTTCTCCCAGCTTTTTCTGTACATGCAAGTGCTCAGCAGGTTTTCATCATGCTATATGTACAATTTCATCTCACCCTAGGCTAGAAGATGACATGACCTCACCTTGGTTAATTGCAGGGATGTCCTTGTCCCAGGACTCCTGCATTTCTTCTGGAGAGTTGGTATCACAGACTCCTAGGCAACTGGAAGTTGAGGGTGCTCCAAGGATCAAACCTGGTCCAGAGAGACAGAGGCACACACACAAATGCCAGGAATAAGGGGGGGCATCAGGCCTAAAGACTCAGGTCCCTCACAAAGCATAGACCTCCATCAAGGAGTCCTAGGAGCCTGCCTAGCTCCTCAACTGGAGCTGGGCCAGGCCTAGACAACTTCAAGAAAGGAGCTGCCTTAGTGAAGCCAACACTTGGTTCAAAAGGCAACTGTACTATCTGGTAGGGGAGAAGGCAGAAAGGACGGAGGGAGGCCTCAAACCCTGCTCAATGGCTTCCTTTCTCAAGCCAGGCTTCTGGAAATTGGGCTCAGCTTGAGCAAGCCCTAGTCTGGGCTGAAGGGCTCCCCTTCCAAACAGCAAGGGTGCCTAGACACCACACCTGCTCTCTCTCTAGCCAGGCAGACCCTCTGGAATCCCCAGAGCTTCAGAAGCTTTGACTGCCACCCCTCGGAAGAGCTGACTTGTTCTTGAAGAGATCCCATTCTCAAAGCCATTAAAGATCCCTGCTAGCTCCAGCCACATCCTCCTGGTTTCTCTAAGCACTCCAGAGGCTGGAGCCAAAACCAGGCACGAGACGCAGCTGGCTTACCTGGCAGACAGAAGAGCAGAGCCAACACCCAAGTCCAGAGGCCTGTGTCATTCCCCATGGTGGACTCCCACTGCCCCCTCAGCAAGCAAGAGGACTGGCAGAACAACCTGTTTGCAGGCTCAGTCTGGCCTCCTCCTTAAATAATTGTTCTTTTGGTTTCCACCTGCAGGCCCTACTCAACATCCTCCACCTGCAGACTCACCTGCTCCTACCTGCAGGTCCCACCTCTGCTTCAGCCCAGGCTCCAGTCTTCTGGATTCCTTCCTGGCCAAAATGGTGGGGAGGATGGGTAAGGACAGAGCATGAGGCATCCAGGGAGAGCCCCCAACTTGAGGTGCTGCTCTTCTGAGATCTCTTCCGCCACCAGGGGGCAGAGAAACATCGCAGAAAGGCTGACAACCGCTGAGACTGGTGTGCTAGAAGGAGCCTGCCTCCTCAGCCTGGGGAGACCTCCTTTCCTGTTCCTCCACACTGTGCTCACCCTGGGGAAAAGCTACCAGAGACCCTGAAGTGCGTACCTTTCTATCTTAGTGTGTATATACAAAGACACAGCTCAGAAGACACTCATAAGCAGAACACACTGTTTAACCACAGTAAGTTTTGGATATTTAGACCCTCTCCCGGGCATTCCTATACAATCCTCACAATAGCCTTGTGTGATCAGCACTTATCCCCAGTTTACAAATTTGGAAACTAAAGCTCCTTATTTTCCTCCTCTATCCCCCTTGGACTTGCCTTGGGTCACCAAAAGGTCCCATCTGGATTTAAACCCCAGAGCTAGAGCTTTTCAGTGCTGAATGGGATGTAGAGACACACACCAGCCCAAGCTATGTCTAGTGAAGGGATGCAACTGAGTCAAGCTATTTCTTGCCCAAAAGGGGCTCCCTGCATTCCTTCTGTGTCTGGAATCAGGAACACAGAAAAAACACAAATGAAAAAGCAGATGCCCCAGCCGGCCCAGGCAGGGTTGTTGTTGTCAAGTGCCTTTGAGTTGATTCTGACTCATAGCGACCCCATATAGGGTTTCCGAGGAGCAACTGGTGAGCTTAAACTGCTGACCTTGTGGTTCAAAGCAACTTTGCAGTCTAGAGCATTAACTTGCAGCACCACGCCAGGACTATTGATGTAAAAATATGCCTAGCTGTATGCTTGAGATCTGCACACGCTACTGTAAGATAGTTACATAGACACATATATAGGCAGTTGTCATAAATTAATTTCAACTCATGACAATCCCAGGTAGAGCAGAGCAAAGCGTTGCCTCATTCTGCGCCTTCCTCACAGTTGCAGCTGCGTGCTTGCTCACCTTACTGAGCATCTCCCTCACCCTTGTTGGCCCCCTATTTTACCAAACATGATGCCCTCCCCTTGTGATTGGTGCCTCCAGATGACATCTCCAAAACAAGCAAATTGGGAAATGTTCTGTGGTGATCCATAAGGTTTTCATTGGCTAATTTTCAGAAATAGATCTTAATCTGCCTTAGTCTGAAACCTGTCCACCATGAGTGACCCTGCTGGTATTTGAAATGCCAGTGGCATAAGTCACCACAGCTTGACAAATTGATAGGTGGGTGGTGGCACTGTAAGTTATACCTCAGTTGTTGGTTGGCTGGTTATGTGCCGTGGAGTCAGTTTCGACCCATAGCGACCCTGTACAGGGTTTCCAAGGCTGTAAATCTTTACGGGAACAGAAAGCCTCATCTTTCTCCTGCGAAACAGCTGGTAGTTTCAAACTGCTGACCTTGAGGTTCTTAGCCCGATTCGTAACCACTACGCTACCAGAGCTCCTTTATATCTCAGTAGAAGATATATTTATTTTATAATTCTTTCTGCTCGAGCCGCAAAGACAGACTTTCCATTCAGCTCTACTCTGCTCTCTTACTTCAAGTGAATCAGAAACTCAAGTTAGGCTCTCTTCGTTCTCTGGTGTTGATAAAAGAGAAAAACCACAAGTGGGTGGTTTTAACAAACAGAAATTTACTCTCACAGTTTAGGAGGCTAAGTCCAAGTTCAGGGATTGAACTTTAGGGAGAGGATTTCTTCATCAGCTCTGGGAGAAAGTCCTTGTCATCAACCTTCCCCTGGGTCTTGGAGGCTCTCAGTATAGGGACCTCCACTCCTGACTTTCCTTCCTTGGTGATAAGAAGTCCCTCCACTCCTCGCTCCTTTGATCTCATGTGATGCAGGCCCCACCTTGGGACACTCCCCTTATATCAGATCAGGGCACAGCCCTGAGTCAGGGTATTGCATCCCACCCTAATCCCTTTACAACTGATTGGCTGCTCACATCAGATCACATCCTGGATGATCATTATAAAGCTGCTGAACCACTGAGAATCATGGCCCAGCCAAGTTGATACATATTTGTGAGAGACACAAGTCAAATCATGACAGGCTTTAGCTCTGGTTTTGAAACGAAAATTGTACTTAAGAAATGCATTTTCTTTGGAAGACACAGGTAGGAGTGGGTAGAGTAAGGGTGGGTGGAGCCGGGTAGGGTGAAGTATAGAATGAGTGAGGGTGGGATGAACAAGGGGGGACCTCAGCCACCAGTTTTCTTGTGTGTGAGATGGGGCTGTGAGGTGGGAAGGACCCAAGATGCGATCTGAGTTGCCCCAGCCCCCCACCCCCCCACACACACGCACACAAGCTGGGCATGGAAATTATAGGAAGTCCCAAACAGAACCTGCCTAAGGAAGTCTGGTTAGCAATCCCAGCTCTGTCCATTTCTCACCAGGGAGGCCCTCTCTCCTTCTCTCTCTCACAAACATACACACACAAAGAGTAAAGGGAACAAGGCATTTTTAGTGGGAATAAGGGAGTCCTGGCATGACGCTGTGGGTTAATGTGCTGCACTACAAAGTCAGTTTGAACTGCAAGGTTAGTGGTTCAAGCTCACCAGCCACTCCTTGGAAACCTTATACAGGGTCACTATGAGTAGGAACTGACTTGACAGCGCTTAACAACAACAACAAAAGGGAGAGCAGGTTGTCCATTTTTCAGTAGACTGAATGGAGTAAATGCCCAGCTGTTCCAGATATAGAGCTGAGCCAACCACAGGACTGGCCCTCACAGGTCTACTGCCTGGTGGAGATGCACCTGCACATCTGATAATTTTCATCCCTTAGGCTACCAGAAAGGAGCTCTGGTAGCGTAGTGGTTATGAATCGAGCTGAGAACCTTAAGGTCAGCAGTTCGAAACTACTAGCTGTTCCGCAGGAGAAAGATGAGGCTTTCTGTTCCCGTAAAGATTTATAGCCTCGGAAACCCTGTGTACAGGGTCGCTATGGGTCGGAACCGACTCGATAGCACTTAACAACAACAACAACAACAAGGCTACCAGAGGCTAACATTTCCTGAGCAGTTACATATGGCGCCGGTGGGTTAATGCCCTGGATTGCAAGGTGGGTTTAAACTGCAAGGCCGGTGATTCAAGCTCACCAGTTGTTCCTTGGAAACCCTATATAGGGTCGCTATGAATCAGAACCGACTCGACAGCACTTAACAACACCAATAAGGATCAGCATTGTGAACCACAAGGTCAGCAGTTCAAACCCACCAGCTGCTCCTCAGAAACCCTATTCAGGGTGGCTATGAATTGGAACTGACTTGACAGCACTTAACAACAGGGAGTCCTGGTGTGGCACTGGAAATTAATGTGCCAGACTGCAAAGCCCTTTGAACTGGAAGGTCGGTGGTTCAAACTCACCAGCTGCTCCTTGGAAACCCTATACAGGGTCACTATGGGTCCGAATCGACACTACAGCAGTTAACAACAACAGGTTACCCCCTTTATGTAAATTGACTCATGTAATGCTGGATACCACCCTAGGAGGTTGGGGCTAACGTTAAAACCCCATTTACACATAAGGAAGCATACATACTTGGTGAAATTAGTCAAAGCCAGAACCCTAACCATTAAACTCTATCACCCCCTCATATTCACAATGCCAAAGCCCCAGAATGTCATAGCAAGAGAAAGCATTCAGTCAGGTGACCCACAAGCCGAGTTGGAAAGGATGAAATTAGCTGAGGTATGACTGACTCTGGCACAGTCGTCCCCCTGGGCCACAGCATGCCCTGCTCTCAGGCGAATCATTGCACCCAATCCCAGCAGCCTCTGGGACAACCCTCTGCTTCTAGATTGGGTTGGGCTCACATCCCATGTCCCCTAGACACCCTAGTGCCTTATGGTAGGCCTATAACCAGTTTTCTTTGAAGACATGCTCATCGGGTGGATGGGAAGGAAAACTAAGCCCATTTCTAGTAACATGTCTTCCACACGAAATACCAGATCATGTGCCTTCTGGGGACAGGAAACGGATCTGGAATGAGGGCTGTCACAAGCTCCAACATGGACAGGCGCTCTGGAGCCTGGGAGCCCAGTCTGAGAACTGGGAGAGGAGTGGAGAGGCTGTACTGTCCTACTACCACAAGAAAGTGGGCATGTGTACAGATATGCTTACGGAAATACTTATTCCTGTGACACGTGTGCATACAGGGGAATACCACACATATGGGCACACACACATATATGAAGGGGACTATAAAAAATTCATGGGAAAATTGGAATGAGAAGAGAATGAATTTTTCCATGAACTTTTTGAAGTCCTCTCATACATCCCACATACTCCAATGAGGAAGTGAAGTTGACCAAGACAGCCCTGGGCTCAGTTCTGGGATATGAACAGGAGCTGTTTCCCCCTGGGACCAAAGCCAGCATCAGCCTCTTAGAAACCCATTTAGCTCTGGAGACAGAACTCTGCCTAAGAGAGAACACAGGCCAAGGGAGAGGTGGTGGGAGAGGGGAGCAGCCTCGTTTTCCCTCCTCGTCTCCTTCCATCCCCAAGAACCAGCAGCTGAAAAAAGGGTGAATCTGAATAAAAAACCGCTTCTGAGCAGTTTCCCAGGCATTGACTTGAGACCAGAAGCTTGAGAGGTGGTTGTTTTTTTAAACAAAACAATATTTTATTGACACATCCTTAATGTTCTATATAAATATAAAGTGCTAAGTTTCCAGTCCTCAACCACAGTTCTGGGAGGAAGTGGGGGAGGGAGTGTTAAATGTCAGTTGAACACAAATAACTTTCCAGCGCCAACACAGGCATAAAACGTGCGCAAACATACGCACGCAAGCAAGAGGTCAATAAATAGAACATACATATCACTTCCCCAGTCCCCAGCTCCCTAAGGAGCACAGGGTTCAAGTTCTAGGACCCCAGGAGGGGGCGGTGCACCACCCCCAGACAGGGCTCCAGGTTCACAGCTTGTTTCTTGGAGGTGGCTGCTCTTAAGCTGCCAAGGAATGCAACTTGGAGGCAGGCTCAGAGGGAGGCCACAGGTATAGAGTTCTGTTCATTTCTGCCAAAGGATGGAGAGACAAGGAAGGCAAGCATAGCTTCCATTCTCACTCCCTGAATGAGGGCCAGCCCTCAAACCCCTCACAGAAGATCACCAAGTGATAAAGTCCAATGTCCCTGAATTCCTAACACCCCTACTCTGGAGGTTTTGAGGGGTAAGCTGGGTCAGAAGGGCGCATAGCTGTCCACTGTCATCTTCTTCAGAGCTGGTGGCTCTGTGTAGATTGACTAATGAGAGAGTTAGCACAGTGGTACCAGCTGTGGGACAAGCAGGCAGAGGAAACCCTGCCTCAGTGGCACAGCACTTGGGTCTCAAACTGCAGCAGCTGCCCCATGAAACTGAAGTTGGGCGAGATGACGCCTCGGCGTTGCTTAACAAAGTCGAAGGCCTCGTCCAGCCGCACACGGCGGCTCTGTATCAGGTAAGCTAGGCAGATGGTGGCAGAACGCGAGATGCCAGCCTGGCAGTGCACCAACACCCGGCCTCCGCTGTTCTTGACAGAATCTGCAAGAGAGATTGTGGGTGGGGGATCAGATGAGAAGAAGCCCAAGATAGAGTAGAGGTACCCCGGACACTTCCCTTGCAGCCCCCTCCAGGTCCAGGGAAGGACTGAGGCTGCCCTCTTACCAATGAAGCCAATGGCCTCCTGGAACCAGGCACTGATCTCCACCATCTGGTTGTCCTCCACAGGGATGCTCTTATAGCGAAAAAGGCCCTCAAAGTGGTTGGGGCAGCTGGCAGAGACGTTGAGGACGGCTGTGATGCCACATGCCTGTAGGCCCTGCAGGTCTGATGAGTGGCTGCAGCTGCCTAAGTAGAGGTAGGGCAAGATCTCCACAGGACCATCCTGGAAGGAGAAACGGGGCCGGGTGGTGAGACCTCCACAGCCTAAGATTGGGAGGTGTAAGCCATCAACCTTGGGCAGAAACATCCCCAGCTGGCCCCAGACAAGAGGCCCAGGGATCACTCAAAAAATATGATGAGGACAGTGAACATGTGGAGACACACATAAAGATGTACAGTCAGATACATGTGGGGGTACTCATGAAGACACATCAGGTCCACAGAGCCGACACACACACACACCAGCACACAAAAGTCAGTGTATACATCCACAAATGGCAGCCTCTCCGTTCCATAAGCACCTATTCTGCTTAGTGATAAGGAGCCTTAGACTCAACTCACCTGGTCATAGAAGGGAGCCCTGGGGTCTGGGCGGCTGCTTTCGGGTCCACTTGGTGGAAGCGCCTGAACAGGGGACTCAGAGCACAGATCTGGGAAGCAGACCTGGAAGTTGTCGAAGCCTCCTGTAGGGAGCACAAGCGCACAGCTGAGTGGGGTTGGGCCTGGCAGGGGCTGGGGTGAGTAGTGGAGGGGGGTGTGGGAAGTCTGCCAGGGGATACAGTCAGGCCCCGAGCACCAGGCTCACCTCGCAGGAAGCACACGGCTGTGGACTTTGCGTGGGTCTCGTGCAGCAGTGCGGTAAGCAGCACGTGCGCCGGGCTATCGGCCCCCAGCTCGGCCACTGAGGCGCTGCACTCATCCAGTACCACGGCCCGCGCCAGCTCCCCGCGGGCCAGGCGCGCCCGCAACGTGCGATCAGGCAGCAGGCAAGCGAGGGCGGTGGCAGGCGGGCCGCGCGCACGGCGCCGCAGCAGCGCGTTCCATGGCACTGGCCTTGCCGCTCGCACGTGGCGCCGGCAGAAGGCCAGGAAGGGCCGGCAGTCCAGCAGCAGCGTGCGCTCAGCTTCCCGCGGCTCCCGCAGTAGCGCGCCTAGTGCGCCGCTCTCCAGCTCGCATGCAGCCTCCAGCCCCATGGCGCAGGCGTTCGTTCAGTGGGTCTGCTGCTGCTTTGGGACACTCTACCCGCTTTTCCCCTCTTCTTCTTCCTCTTCCTCTTCCTCCACGTTCTCAGGCTCTCTTGTGATCGCGCTGCCTGAGAGCCAGCTCTCAGCGCCCTCGCTGAGTCCTGGCTTAAATACCCTGTGGGCCGGCCTTCTGGGTCACCATACAAGGACAGAGCAGGAAGGCGCCAGGCGCCCGCCCCCGCGATCTCACGTGGGGTGCAGGCCGTGCTGGCCCGCGGGGCTCCCGGTGAAGGCTGTGGGCCACAGGCTGTGGGTGGCGGTGGAGCAGCACGAGGAGAGGGGAGGAAACCCTGGGAGCAGCTTGTGTTTGCCAGGACCAGTGGAGCTCAAATGCCCCTCTCCCACAGTCTTTGAGCCTCCACCCTTTGACCCTCTCCAAGCTAACCCACTGTGTCCTCGGGAACTCCACATCCCCATCCTCAGAGACTTGCGGTGGAGCTGGTTTGGGAGAGAGTACAGTGTTTGTGTTTCTGCTCCCTTTTCCCTTTCTCTCTCAGCAAATTTTCTCCCCAAGGAATTGGTTACAAAAACTGACACATGATTTGTCTGCCCATGTACCCATTCAATCCTTGAGTGTTCCAGAGAGTGTATGTGGGTGGCTATGCACAGAGTACAAGTTTGTGTATACTAGAGTATGGATCACTCATGGGTACTCTCCATGGAACTGGGTATATCTGCATGTGTATTTTGGGACACGAAGGGGTTGAGTGTATTTGTGAGTGTATGTGTGTCCCCTTGTGTTCATTGCCATATTCCAGAGTTAGCTCCCTGGTCAGGAGGGCTCCTCTTTTCTGGGGCTAACTAGGGTTGCTTTCTACTGTGTAGGGTGGGAACAGTACTAAGGTGTATCTTTTTTCATCTACTTAGAAACATCCTCCCTTCATTGTGTGGATAAGACCAGCACTCAGCATCCTGCTGCAAGTTAGTGGCCAAGGTAGGCCAGAGCATAGGCCCTTGAGCAGCACTGGAGTGATTGGGATGAGGAGTGTCCTAAGGCCTTGTGGGAGGTCGAGGGGGGCTGGGGGGCTGTGACAAGTTTACAGTTATAAACCAGTCAGGGCTTCTCCTATCTTCCCCAAGAGCCCAGGGAAATCCCAGGGACCAGGGAGATGCACTTCCCCATGTGCAGGCTAATTTTGAAGGGGAACTCTGCTGACGCTTTGGGCTCTCCCTGTGGTCTGCCGGGAATTTCAGGAGCCTCGCTAAAGGGAGAAAGGAGAAGAGCTAATATTCGAATCTACCTTCTCTACCCCCTCACTCCACCACCCCCTTCCCCATCACCACCTCCACTAGCAGCAGACCTCAAAGCTTTCCAGCCCTCCTTCTAGACAGCACTGGCATTTGAGCAAGATGATGAGCAGTAAGAACAGAGAGCTAAGTTATCTACATACCTTCTGCCACCCCCATCCCAGCTGCCAGCCCTGGTGCCGGATGTGGTGAGCCCCAGGTGTGCGTGGGGTGTCTAGGCCCCTGGGCAGGGGCAAGAATGAACTCTGAGGCACAGAAACTTAGGTGGATAGGGACAGTGCTTTGAGCTGAAGCTGCCCCAGCTCCCACCCATCCACCCCCAACTCCTCAGACCCCATTCCCCTGTCCCTGTCCCTTTGTAAGACCCTTCCAGCTCCCATGCAAATCCCCATGTCCAGATTGCCTTGGAGAGCTGCAGCTATGGCCCCTATGAACCCCCAAGTCCCCACTTGACCTGTAACTCCTGAATTGTTCACAGTTGTGTTGAAGTGTCTGATTTTTATGTTGGTGTATAATATGCATACAGCTCCACTGTCTGAGATGAAGTTTGAATCTTTGTATCAATTTGTGTGTGCTGGGGCTGGGGAGAGGGGGTGTACAGTGTGAGGGGACATGCAGAGGTTGACCTTCAAGAGAGAAACCTCAAGGACTATAAAAATTCCTGGGGACCAAGGGACCCTTTCATGCTTCAGTATCCCCATCTATAAACAATAACACATACTCGACCAGCTTCTCTCCCATATTGGTTCCAAGGCTACAAGGCTAAGCCTGCATCTAAGACTCCATCTCTTCCTACCAGGTTAGTCTGGAGGCTGATGGGTCAAAGCCCACATTAGAGCCGAGGAGTCTGGACCACAGATCCCAGAGGCTGATATGAGGCCCTTATCCTTGGCATCAGCCAGGCAAATGACTTAATGGCTGATTCCAGGGGCAAATTACAGAGCATGCAAAGAATAGTGTCAGGTCCTGTTTTGCTGACTATGTCACCTGCCATCCAGCCATCCAGCTCCACAGGGAGGAGGTGGAAGGTGAGAGGACCTAACCTGCTGGGAGCCTTGACTCATGAGATACAATCAGCTTAGCCATGTAGGGGGCTCCAGACTCAGGATGCCTACATTGGGCTACGTCTCTTCCTCTCCTTCTAGAGAACAGTATGAACTTTGCTGGGAAGTTCTTTGTGGGGGTGGTAGTGGGAGTAGTCACAGCTGAACGTTTGCTGTAATGTCACAGTCCTCGGAGGCCTTACCAGGCTCTCTGTTCCGGATCAATGACCTCTGTCTGCCCAAAGTGGTTACAGATGTATTACCCATCCCCACCACCAATGCAACTAATTTGGGGGCTGTCCCCTTTCTAGCTCTGGTACACAGACCCAAGGAGGCTTGACTTAGTCACCAAGAGCTCCCCTTGGCTTTCTTACCCTACTGCCAAACTGGGGAAACCCCCACCCCTTGTGAACATCACGTCACTCCGGGGTGAGTAGAGAGGGGGAACGAGACATGCAAACTTATATACCACCTCCGCTTCTGCTCTGACTACAGGTCCCCAACCCTTGCTGCCCCTGGAGACCAAATCATGGTGCAAATGTTTCCTCCTTTGCCGCCTCTCCAGGACCACCATTGCTCCCCTCTTCCCGTGGTGGCCCAGAACTGAGCCTTGGGAACTATGGCAGAGACTTGGTGGAAAGCAGTGTGGGGAGGGGTCTGGTAGGCAGAAGCCTCCCTGTCTGCAAGTTCTCTATCAAGGACTCTGCCCCTCACTGCTACGTGGGCAGGGGACGAGGGGGTGTATGCACCACACTCAATCTTTTGTGTTTTTTATTTTTTCCTAACCTGATTGTTACGAGGCAGATACTATCAAACAAATTTGGAGCTCAGCATTTTTCTCCTTCCTTTTTTTTTTTTTTTTTTAATTTCAAAGCCCGTGATCCTCAAGTGGAACAAATGATCCTTTGTGTTATTCTTTGTGTAACCATCTTGATTGCTGTTTAAACGTCATTTGTCTCCTGCCTTTGGGATTCCCGGTCATCCCTGCCCCAACATCTTGTCAAGCCCAGCCCCCACGCAAAGTGGTTTCCCTTCCACTTTGCTCTGGGCTGATGTTGCCCTGCATTTTCCTTCTTGCTCCTTCCAGCCCCAACCCCAAGCATCTACCCCCAGGGAGAGAGTGGCTTGGCTAAGATCCTTAGGCCAGAGTGGGCACAAAGGTGAAAGTGACGGGGCCCCACCCCCAGGCCTCCTGCCCCAGCATAGGGGTGAGTCATGGCTGACGTCAGGTTTCCTGAGCCAGGCCTCTAATGACAAAGAGCCTGTGGTCACCCCCACAGACTCTTGACTTCAGTGGCCTGGCTCCTGTGAGATAGGCACTGCTCCATACAGTTTGGTGGCCCTGGGAGATCACCTGCTGATTTTTTCTAAGGATGTTTCCCACCGGTTTCCCAGCCTGAAGTGGGGCCTGTCCTGCCTGCCTGTTCCAGAGTCCTTGGGTGCAGAGAGAGCTCAAATTGGGTATCCAGTCCTCAGTCAGGTTGGATGCAAGAGCTCAGGCATGCTCTTGGGAAATGTGAAATATGGAGTAGTGAAGGCTGGCTCAGAAGTGGGCCCACACACGGCTGAAGGACTGGTGTCTGTCACCACATGAGGGTCTTATGTCACATGCAAATCTATGGGCAGGAGCACACATGGGGCAGCTTATATGGGCACACTGGGTCCGCCCTTGGGGACCCTGTCCCTTCTGATAAATGAGCCCAGGAGGGGACAACCTGGACCAGAACCAGTCACTCTCTGTGCCACTGAGCCCACTTGGCTCAGTCTGAGGTGATGTTCAAATAGCTCAAAGTATTATCTGACGTGGCACTGAAAAATTCTAAATCACACCATGAAGAAGTTCTTTTTCAGATATCTTCCAATCAGTTCTTCTGAATACAGCAAGAAGCGTATCTCAGTTTGGGTTTGGTGTGGCACCACAGGAGAAAGACTGGGTAATCTACCTCAGAAAAATCAGCCACTGAAAACCCTATGGAGCACATTTCTACTTTGACACCCAGAGGGTTACCATGAGTTGGAATTGACTTGCTATCACTAGGTTAAGGAGTCTCTGGCTGATATAAACAGTTGGTTAACTGCTAACCAGAAGATTGGAGGTTCAAGTCCATCCAGACATGCCTCAAAAGAAAGGCTTAGGAACTTACTTCCAAAAAAATTAGTCATTGATGGCCCTATGGAGTGGTTCTACTCTGACACTCACACGAAGTCTCCATGACTTGGAATCAACTCAGTATCAGTTGGCAACTAGTGGCTTTAATGCCTTTCTGATATTTGCTTTAAAATAAGGAAGCTTAGTGTCTTGCTCTAGCATTCATGGCCTTTCTTCATCTATTCATTCACTCAGCCCCTCCAAGTAAAACATCAAATATGCTTTAATGATGTGTCAATAAATCACAAACTGCCACCCTTATTTAGTGGCAATAATATTTATTTTTGTGATTGTGCTGTATCCGTGGTAAGTGATGCTAGTTGTCCACTTGTTGTTACGTGCCATTGAGTCATTTCCGACTCATAGTTGTCAAGGGTGTAAAACTTTCTGGAAATAGAAAGCCTCATCTTTCTCCCAAAGAACAGGTGGTGGTGGGCTCAAACCACTGACCTTGTGGTTAGCAGTCCAGTACTTATCCTATAGAGTTCTGTGAAAGAAATATGAGGCTTTCT